TTAACAAGGCATAATAGCGTGTAATCAGGCGAGTAACACTTAGAATAAGGAAGATATCAATTAACAAACAGTTTCAAGGCAAAATAAGGTAAATAAATAACGGAAACATGGTATATTGAACAAAATAAGGAAAATATCAGTCCCGTATGAGAAAGGAAAGAGTATAAAAAAATCAGTGAAAGTTCTGAACCCTAGTTTTAAGGAAAACCATAGTACCTGGATGTACACAAAAGCAATAACATAAGATGAATATAGACCCAAATAGCACTAAAAATCAAAGAGTCAAACTAATTTTGGTCCGATTTAAGAAAGTCTGAGAACCCTAAGTTTAGGGTAAGTAAAAATTGGTCAGAAATATCTATCAAAAATCATATAGAGATGCACATAGATAGATACACGGGAACATTACAGAAGATATTCAACCAAAATATAACCAGAACAAATCTTAAAAGATCTGAGCCCTAATTTTAGGGCAAAATAAATTAGACGGAAAAGTTTTTTAATGAAAATCGCGAAAAATATTCACAGATAGACATGCGGAAACATAGATGACATTTTTAACAAAAATAAGAACGAAATATTAACATATCTTAAAAGATCTAAACCACAACTTTAGAGTAAACAAAGATTAAAGAAATCTCGGAGATTCGTACTCAAAAAGATGAAGAATGAACATAGATGAAGAAAGGAGAAAGATTCGAACCAGATTTGGTCCAAAAATAGGGAAATCGGATTGCCATGTTAGGCAAGCTATTAGGTTATACCATAATCGAGTAGCCAGTAGCGAAATAGGACCAATAAGGTAAGAAAATCATCAAGGGATTCCATATCCGGTTGGAATCGAAGAAGGAAATTAGGTGACGATGGATTAGGATTTGACAGAGATGGAGAGGCGTTGGGAGATTTTAAGGGCGGCGAGTTAAGTGAAATGGGATAGTGTTTCTGGGGTTGGGTCAATAAGAAAAGGGGGAAAGGATGGTGGTCATTGATCTTGAGAGAACAACGGCTGGGGCTAAAAAATGGATGGGGCGGGTCGTTTGGGAGCGGATCGCGACCAGGTTGCGAGTTAGGGGTTGTTTGGTTAGGGCTATGGCGGACTGGGCTAATTTTTAAGTAGTTGGGCTGGGTAATTGGGTAGACTAGGTCCGATTTTAAGTAAAATGGGGCCAGATTTAAATACCCATTTTTAATTAATAAAATAATTTGTAAAAAATGATAAATGAAATAGTAAATTATCATTTGTTCCTAAAAATAATTAATGACAATTATTTATCCTTATAAAAAAATATAAAAGCTATTTTTTGCAAAAAGAAAGTAATTACAAGTATATACGGGCTATTATTACAAAATGTGCAATTTTAATCTATAAAATTCAAATGTAAGTATGGAAATGCAATTAAAATATTTAAATACTATATGGGCATAAATGATGAATTTAGATGATTAAATCATCATAAAAATAATGTGAGGGATAATTATTGGATATTTGTACAATAAAAAATGCAGAAATAAATTAATAAAGCCTTTAAAATTATAGAAAAATTATAAAAACACTTGTGCATGTTTGTAAATCTAATAATAATGCATGTGCACAATTTTGAAAAATATATATGCATATTTAAAATATATGAGGAAAAATTGGGTATCAACAACTGCCCCTCTTTACTTAGGAAGAATGAAAGAGTTGTCGGGTAAAGAAATGATGACTGATTTTGATCGAGTGAGGATTATTTTGAAATATATATAGGTTGAACCCTGGTCTCTGAACTGCCTACTTATCCCTGGTTTTACATGAATTAGGCCATGTGTAGTTCTGGATCCAACGGTGAACGAAACCGGTGGAATTGTTATAGGAACGGTCATGTGTTTAGGTAAGGTTCTTTTGAGTAGGATAATATCAGATGAATATATACGGAGTCACGAATGTGAATCTAAGTGGTCATAAGGTAAAAACGAGCAATTGATAGGAGTTAGTTACGTTTGGAATAATGGCAGGGTATAAATGCTATGAACGAAAACCGGAGCGAGGGTTGCTCTCGTTTGAGGAACGGTTAACTCTTGAATTACCTACAAAACTTTAAAACACGATGCATGAAAGTATATAGATTATTGCGAGAATTTAAACATGATGCAAATTCCTTTTGGACCATGAAGGTTGTCTTTGGATAGTGAGGATGACGTCCTTAGACCATGACGTCCCAGGCCATGATTCATGAGATAAGGGATTCGCAGGCCATGAAATGATGTTCTCGGGCTGTGAGAATGGTGCCTCTGAAACATGACACCTTTGAATAATGATGTGCAGTATTGAGAGATCCTCAAGCCATGACATGGTGCCTTCAGGCTATGAGAATGATGTCTTCGGACTATGACGCCCTTGGACAAGTTGGCTATACATCAGTCCATGAAGTGGAGAGACATGATACCAAAGGTAATAACAAGGCAAAACTTAGTCTTGTGCAGAGTTTGGGGGCAGAGCTTAGCCCCGAGACAAGAGGATAATGCAATGTTTAGAATAGAGCAACACTTATGCAAAGGGAGACAATGCTTAGTCTCATGAGAAGGCAGTGCTTAGCCTTATGCAAATTGGAAGGCAGGGCTTAGCCTCATGCAAGAATTGAGACATGGCTTAGTCTCATACAAAGAGAAGGCAATTCTTATCCTTGTGTAGGTAGAGAGGCAGGGCTTAGTCTCATGCAAAGAGAAGGCAATGCTTAGCCTTATGCAAATAGGAAGGCGGGGCTTAGCCTCATGCGAGGATCGAGACAGAGCTTAATCTCATGCAAAGAGAAGGAAATACTTAGCGTTATGCAAATAGGGAGGCAGGGCTTAGCCTCATGCAAGGATCGAGACAGAGCTTAGTCTCATGCAAAGAGAAGGCAATTTTTAGCCTTATGCAGGTAAGGAGGCAGGGCTTAGCCTCATGTAAAGAGAAGGCAATGCTTAGCCTTATATAGGTAGGGAGGCAAGGCTTAGCATCATGCAAATGAAATTCGATGCTTAGCCTTATGTAAATATGGAGGCAGGGCTTAGCCTCATGCAAGATTTGAGACAGTACTTAGTCTCATGCAGAGAGAAGGCAATGCTTTACCTTATGCAAATGAGGAGGCAGGGCTTAGCCTCATGCAGGAAGGAGGCAATGCTTAGCCTTATGCAAATATGGAGGCAGGGCTTAGCCTCATGCAGGAAGGAGGCAATGCTTAGCCTTATGCAAATATGGAGGCAGGGCTTAGCCTCATGCAAATGAGGAGGCAAGACTTAGCCTCATGCAAGATTTGAGACAATGCTTAGTCTCATGTAGAGACAGATAGCAAGCATGAGTAGAATATTTCTTAGCAAGAGATATATTTGTGCTTGGCAGTCTAGTTGTTATGAAGGTAATGATTTTAAAGCGCGCATACTTGTGGTTATTCCTTGTTCCTGCATTCAAAGAAAAATCATGAGTTTTGTAGGGGAGGTTGGTTCGTGCCTGTGTCTGCTTGTTTTGCTTTTCTTTGCTTTGCTCTGGAGATCCTGTTCGAGTTACCCTGGGTAGCACCTGGCTACCATAGAAATAAAGCTTTTGAAAAATATGCACTTATTTGATGAAATAGAGTTATTTTAGAAAACATAATGGTATATAATATCAAGTAAATTAAATGAACTAATGACTGCGACACTTTTAGAGACATTGTGGCATCTTTGCAATAGAATTTTTGAGGGTCCTCCAATCTGCCCCAGTTTAGTAAGTGATCCTTTGGCCGTTCTACATGTGACGAAGTTTGTTGGATATGTTTCGGAATTTTTGAGAATCTTTCTCAAAATTCTACCCCAGTTACTTTACCGATTTCTGACTATCTTATACATGATGACGTCGGCTGGACTTGCTCCGGAATTTTGAGGGTCCTCCTCAAAATTCTGCCACAGTTTCTGGTTCTGGGGAAATGAGGATTTTATTAAGATGTGACCGAACCCATAGGGCTGCCTACGTATCCCCTCTTAAACGGGAATCAGGTCAAGCATAGTTCAGTTACATCATATGAAGAAATGTAAACAATCTAAATATAGTATCTCTTGACTGCAGTCTAAATTGATAGGTTTTGGCCAAACTTCTCCGTCCATTTCTGCAAGTATGAGTGCTCCTCCTATTAGTACCCTGTGAACCATGTAGGGCCCTTGCCAATTGGGTGAAAACTTTCCTTTAGCTTCATTTTAATGTGGGAAGATTCGCTTCAGTACCAGCTGCACCGGTGAGAGAACTTTTCAAATTACCAGAGACTCCATACTCAGACACTTTGATTGGTTGTTGCTGCTGCATTTGTGGTATTTGTCAAGAGTATAGGGAACTTCAGAATCGCGGCGTCGATCCATCCCTAGGTAAAAACTAAGGATTCAAGTTATAAACATCGACTAGTTTTAAAGACTATAAATAAGTTACTTATCATCATTTTATAAGGGTATCAACTAATGTTTATCAAAGAAACTTATTTATAATTTTGATTGTGTAATATTTTTTTTATAACATCAGGATGGGAAGGCAATGTAGAGAAGTGGAAACGAGAAGGGGCAACTGTGCCACCAATTCCTACATTTACCATGAGTCATTAGGCTCTTCTGTTCTGGAGTGCAGTCTACTTGTGTATCATGAATTTTCATTTCCTTTCTTTGATATGTACCTTCCAATTGGAGCAAATGTAGAATGTTGTTGTTGCTAAATATTAGTTTGATTGCATTTGGGATAGTGTGCAGTAGCGGGCCAGAATTTTAACCAAAGGGAATTCAAATATAAAGAAATAAATACACTAAGAAGTCAATTGATAGTGTGTACCGTTTAACTATGTAATTGTTACATTAATTAATAGATTTGTTTATTGAATGATGATACTAATAAATAATACAATAAGTATTCTACGCAAGGTACTCTTGGTCTTCAGCCTCTATGATAAACTGTGAAATATGTTTGACAGACAGTCAAGAGAAGAAGTAAAATAGCAGCAAACAAAGCAAGGGCGTTCCAAGGACTAAAAGTGAGTGCCAATTAGTTCAGCCATCCATGTCTTGGCCTTACTATTATAGTGCTTCTGGATTTGTTCTTTGACCTTGAAATCAAACAGATCGTCGTCCAAACTGCAAATGTTGATCTCCTTGAATAATTCTACCACTTCATCATCATTGTTGAGTTGGTTGATTAGTATTCGTTGGTCTCGAAGTTCCTGCACATCTTTTGAATCACTGATGATTGATTTCATAAATTTTATATAAGATGTCAATTGTAATTGAGTATTTGAGTCTGGGCACAATTCATAAGCTATCGCGTTCTTTAACCAAACCCGTGACTTGATTGAAGCAACGAAAGTTGGCAATTCAAGCCTGCCGTGGAAGCAAAATGAAGTGAATTTGATATCACCCAATAAGTCACTATGGCTAGGCCTGAAAGAGATGCCCTTCGCCTTGAGATCTATGACTGAATGAAAGGAATAGCTATATTTCTTAACTTGGTTGCCTAGTTCGATTTTATGATCAATAATAGGAGAACAAGTATCATCGTCCTCCATACGGTTTGGATAACTTAGCTCGGCATGGTGTTTGTTAATCGTGATTAGGAAAACTTTGCTCCAGTGTCCGGAAATAACTGCTCTCCGGAGAGCTTCAAGAAGAAAAGGTGGTTGATCTGCATCATCATGAATGTCTCCTGTAATCATATCGAAATTCACATTTATTGCCTTGCATATAAAAAAGCGAATCCAATAGTTGGCATAAGCCATGCTACGTCCTGAAATTAATAGCTTCTTGACAAGCTCAAAAGGGATTTGATTCTCAAGCAAAAGTACATCGCGCTGAGCCAAAGTGAACATTACATTGCCAAGAAGTTTAATAACATACTGAGACAGATTAGATGCAACATTGGAATATACAGCGATGATGAAACAAGCATCGAGGAGCATCATTTCAGCCAATTCTTTGTCACTATAACCTGCAGTATATTCCCACAAATACAAACTTCTCACTTCCTTACCCACTACCTCAAACATTTCGAGGAAGAAATCTTTAGATTCCTGACTTTCGGAAACAAAAATATCAAAAATTTGGTGCTTAATAGACTCCGCTTGATCAAGCTCGTGTTTGCCATGGTAGTAAGGTCCAAAAGATACTACAAAAGGCGTGTAGTCTTCAAAACTGGCTTTTTTCTTGGAACTTACCCTCTCCTCCAGGTGCAATATTGCACTAGGAATTTTAGGTATTTTTTGCCCCTTCGACCACATAACCTCAACGCTTGTACGTTTTTCGATCGGGTCCTCTGCCAAGTATGTAACCGAATGGTTTTCTTCGGGTAAGCAGTAGCTGAAAGAGGACAATTTCCACTGAATTTACTTACAACTATATAAACAGACACACATGCATGCACCTTTTGCTGGAGCAGTTCTACTTATCAAATTCAAAGGAAAGAAGGAGACAAAGCGAGATGTTATTTTCACAAGTTAGGAGGCAAGCATCGAGCTCAAATTCAAAAGTGTTTATGGACAAGGATAGAAGAAGGAAAAAATTAATGAAGTTTTACAAGATTGACTGTAAAGGAAGAGGAGCAAAGCTTGTAAAGAAAATTTGCATTTATGAAGAAAAGAAAAGGCAATACGAATGGAATAAAAAGATTGTCCGAGATTTACGTAAAGAATATTTATTTGTGGAAAAGAGTCAAGATTAGGAAGAATCTAATTAAAGGAGCACAAAGAAAAATCCCTTCAGAGGGAAAGTCATCATCACGTTGACCATGATATAAGGAATATATATTCTGCATTAAGGAGACACATCAGCAATGGTCATATTTGAGGCAACAGTATAAGTAGAAGAGCAACCAAAAAGAAGAGTCACGAAGCCTTCTATATAATTGTCTACCCAACTATAAATTTTTTATTCTATTCTTAACAAGCATTAAAATTCTCTTTTAGTCGATTTACTGTGTACACAAAAGAGAAAAAAGAGACAGAAAAATATAGGAGAGGCAGCGTGTCCCGAAAGGTTGTGTCATTGTTCATTTCTTTGGCGAACGAGTGAAAACCAGAGGGTCGTTGTTAGCGAGCGAGTGAAGATGTTATTGATGAGCGTGTTAAAACTAACCCTTGTTCGTTGTTGATGAGCGAGTGAAAATCAATCTTGTAAATGTTGGTGGATGAACGTGAAAATCACACAAGTTGTACTCAACCAAAAATACAAAGAGCGCAAGAGATAATCTTCTTGCAACCCAAGGGGACTGTATTAGGATACCACATTGGTTCCGAACCAATATAAAACTACTGGTGTTGTCTGCTTTATTGCTCTCATATATTCTGCACCATTACTATTTGTAGTGATTAGTACTTTAAATCAAAATACTAACAATTTTGTGCAAGTTATCTCCATATTAGTCGACTAGGTCTGAACAGTAGTCGATCGGAAATTTTAAAAAAACTATAATTTTTATGCTTGTATAATTCCATATGTACAATATATTATTATAGCAAAGAAAAAATCTACAAATAATTAAATTTTCTTCTCTGCGGTTCTAAAAAAATAGGCAAAGGATTGTGAGATAGAGATTTTGATTAGATTAAAGGTGTATTTGGTATGAAGGAAAATATTTTTCGGAAAATAATTTTTCGGAAAATGTTTTTCAATTTTTCCATGTTTGGTTGGCTTAAATGTTTTGGAAAACATTTTCCGTATGAACTCATTTTCCTCCAATTGGTGAAAAATGTTTTCTTATCAAAAGAAGGGAAAACATTTTCCAATACTCCTTCTCAACCTTCCCCACCTTATTCTCCATCCTCACCAACCCACCCAAAACCCCTACATCCACCTACCTCAACCCCACCCCACGCATACCCACCCCACCTCNTCATTTTACTACATCACCCCCCATCTACCCATTCCAAAGTTATGAGTTCTGAGATTTATGTGTTTGGAAGGTTACGGGTTCGAAAGTTCGCGGTTTCGAATGTTTAGCGATTTGGAAGTTTGTGAAATTTGTGGATTCGGAAGGTTGTTGGTTTGACAGTTTATGACTTCATGTTTATTGTATCTAAATTATTTATGTATACTCTTGAGAAATTATTTTTCCTAAGTTGCGTACCAAACACCGAAAAATAAATAAAATTACTACTTGTTTTCCAATAAAACATTTTCCGTTGTACCAAAGACACCCTAAGAAAGGATACAGCTGAAGTTATGCTGGGTGGAGGGTGGGTTTGAAGATAGGAATAGCCCACACACGAAGAGAGACAAGAATTGGGCAAGGTGGGTGAGTTTTCGATATACATCATAATCAGAGGCGGATCCAAGACTTAAATTCTATGAGTTCAATTTTAAAGTTGTTAGCATTGAACCCATTATATTTTTAAAGTCATTGAACTCATTATATTTTTAAAGTTATGGGTTCAAATCTACTATTTTTGCAATTTTAATGAATTTTTACTTACAAATTTTTACTCCGCATCAAAAGTTATGGTTAAGTTGAACCGTAGGTAATACACTACATCCGCTTCTGGTCATAATAACATTTTTGATATAAGAGATGGATCGTTGTCTATAAAAACAAATATTAATCCTCGTTTCATGAGATTTTTGATTGACGATGAAAGTTAGGAGTGCTCCAGTTTGGATGGTCACTCAACTTTTATTTAATGCGTCAAAGTCATTAAACTATTTCTCATAATAAGAAAAAAACCATTCAACTTGTCTAAGTATCAACAAAAATAAAAATAACAATAACATTCTACTACTCTGCTCGGTGCACTAAGCTTCCGCTATGTGCGGGGTCCGGGGAAAGGCCGGACCACAAGGGTCTATCATACGCAGCCTTACCCTACATTTCTGCAAGAGGCTGTTTCCACGGCTCGAACCCGTTACTTCTTGGTCACATGGCAGCAACTTTACCAGTTACGCCAACGCTCCCCTTCAGTCCACAAAAAGAAAAAGAAAAAACAAGAAGATTCAAAGAAAAACAAAGAAAGAGCACAAAACAGGTAATTACAAGAATGAAGTCACAGTCAACATGGCAACAGTACAAATAAAAATGACATTCTCCAGGTTCTGCATTAGTGTGAAGATATCCAGATACATCAAATAAGATAAGAATGCTCCAAATGCAAATGGAGATGTTTATTTGGACTTCTCTTGTTAAAACCAGTGAGGCAAATGTAGTAGCAAGCAGAAGGGTTGATTCATCGCCGAGTCCCTCCATAGTATAAGAATTGACAAAAGGCACTGTGCAAATCAATGCATGATCAGCTGTCTGTATCTTAAGTGGACATTGGCTATGCACATACTACCGGGAGAATGGAAACTATAGAAGCTATTAAAGAAAATGAAATGATACTCTATAATGTTTGTCCTGATAAAGTCTGTTAAAATTCGGCTTTAGGCAGCACTAGCACAAATTGGACTTATCTCAATGCTTAAGCTGATCAAGAAATCGAAGACACACAACATCCTACGACGAATTTATCAGAAGATTAAAATGAATATACCTAAATGCCCTTGCTTTCAACTCATTGAAAGAACATACACTCAACGCTCACTTAAGCATTATTAGGTCAACCAGCAGTCAAAATAGTGTTAAGTCATCCAAAGTGCTATTTCTGCTACCATTACCGCGTAATGAATATATAAAATTGCTCACTAAAGGATACAAAAGTAGGAATTTGAAAGATAATAGAATCTAAGCTGATTTTTCAATCTGTTGACGAAAATCTTTTGCTGTGTATTTTAATTTGAAATTATCACATCAAAAGGTAGAAACAATTAAGAATACTGTCATAACTGTGAGTTGGAAAGTTGATTACAGGTGTTTGGAGCCTAATATAGCACCAAGATGAAACATATTAGGTGCTGAATAGTTGAACTAATAAATAGAATGCAGTGTAGAACTGATATCTAAAACATGTTTATAAGCTCTTCACAGTTTTGTGTGGAAACATTTCCATTATTACCCTGTGCCTAAATCCTAATTATACCTTACAGATATCAAGTACAAGCTAACACATTAATTTCACGCCAACTCAATCGGACTGGTAATTATAGGAAATTTAACAGTGGAACAAAATCATTTGAAGACAAAGGCAGATTTGAAGCTAACCTGTCTAGTGTCAATGAAGCAGTCTTTAAAGTTACAATCCGAGATCTGGAGGAAATAAAGAAAGCTTGAATCCGCTGCCAACTTTTTCTTGTTTCTTCTTTAGTATTGCTCGTGCAGATCTAGCAGCAGACACACTGGTACTCTGGAGTTCCATTAACTGGAGGTTTTCCACATCAGCCAGTTCAGCTGGTAGTTCATTAAGATTATCACATGCTATAAGAACAAGGCGTTTTAGTCGTGGAAAGTTCCCCGATGAGGCCTTCCAAGAAGATAGATCTGTCCTTTCAATCCATAGGACCTGCAGACGAGGAAAACCACCATCCTTTGTTTCCCATGACTGTCCCCTAAACGCATTTTCTTTCAACTTCAGCACTTCAAGGTACTCTAATAGACCTAATATAGACATATCTTTCCATTCGAACCACGTATCTATCAGAGTGAGTTTTTTTAGCTTCTGAGGAAAAATATATGCTGGAGGAAGGTGTAGCTGTTTTCTACTTTGTCGAGTATCATTTACCAACTTCAGCTTTTCGAGGCAATCTAACTTTCCTATGTTGCTGAACAAACCAGAACTGGACCCGTCCTTACTGGTCTCTAGAAGTGCATCTATTTTTCCACGAACACCTAATTTCTTGAGATTAGGAGTTCTAGTAAAAACTTCTGCCGTGCAACATTCAGGTGCTATAGTAGAAAGTGTTTGTAGGCAACGATTCACCAAGTTTTCCTTGCTGCTCTTGGGGCGCTTAGGGGAAGGCAATGTAGCAGAGGCGTTCGTGCACACATGCCTTAATCTTGTCATATTCCAAATGTCTGCTTTAATGTCAAGAGTACCCTGTTGTGTCTCAATTATAAGTGTTTGTACATTCCAAAGATTCCCAATGTTTGTAGGAATGGTCATAATCGAGTCAGTTGAGAAAGCAATGTACCTCAAATGGAATAATTTGAAGAACTCTCTAGAAAAACGACTGAACTTGATTGATTCAGCATCGAGTACCCTAAGCAAGGGAAAGGCTCTGGGGATGGCTGGTATTTCACCTAAAGGCATCTCAAATTTTTTTGAGGCAAAGCATAAGAACGACCTAACATGCTCACCAAAGGGTTTTGTTGACAAGAATTCAGAAACAGACGAATGAATGCACAAGCGACGATAAGTGGCTAACTCTTGTTTCTCTGGAAAAGAATGTTCTTGCCCTCGTTTGATTTCTTGAAAAAGATTTTCCTCCATCATAGCCTCATGTCTGCAGAACTCATGCAACATGTCATGAACACGACATGTTTTGATTTGACCACTAGAACTCCTTTGCATTACCATCACTAAGTTCCTATTGACAAGATCATTCAAGTGGTCCTCTGCTATATCCTCTAGAGTCAATGGTCCTTGGTATTGTATGAATCCTTCCGCTATCCATAAACAAATCAACTTCCGAGCTGAAATTTCAGAACCGCCAGGAAAAGCCCCACAATATAAGAAGCACGCCTTTAAATCATAAGGCAAACGATCATAACTCATCTGCACCAATTTCTTGCAGTTCTCTGGATCTCTATTTATGAGGTGCTCACCCACACTGTCAGCCACCAGCTCCCACTCCCTTGTCGTCTTTCCTTTGTCTATCAAAGCTCCGGCAATAACAACTATTGCAAGTGGTAAGCCCCTACATTTTTTGGCTATATTTTTTCCAGGTAATTCTAACTCAGATGTACATTTTTCCTTGTGAAAAACTCTCTTCTCAAGTAGCTCCCAACTTTCATTTTCAGTCAAAAACTTTAGATCATGAGGTTTATCATTGCAGCACTTAGCCACATTGCTTTGTCTAGTAGTCATCAAGACTCTATTCCGTTTATTGTTATTGGGGAAAGCAATTTTGATGCGATTCCAAGCTTCTCTTGTCCACACATCATCTAAAACAACAAGATATTTCCCACCCTTCCCAAGAAGCTCCTTTATTTCATTTGCTAATTCCTCCTCTGGTGTATCATGGTATTGTTTGGTGTTTCGAGTGAATTTGCTGATGATGTTGAGAAATATTTCCCTTCTGTTGAATGATTGAGAGACATATACCCATATGCGGTTGAAAAACTCATACTCAACTGTGGGATCCTTGAAAATCTTATATGCCAAAGTTGTTTTTCCAAGACCAGGCATACCAACGACTGGCACAACATAATCCGATCCTCCAATGAGACGATCAATTACAGTTGTCGCTTCCTCATCAAAACCTACCACGTCGTCTTCCTCTACTACAGGGACCTGTTTTTAAAGAAGAAAAAAGGTCACAGAAATGATATTAGAATTGTCTTTTAATAAAAGATGAAAAAACACGATATTGAAACAAACGTGCTAATGTAAGTAGATTTTACGAAATGCTGACATTATGCATGTGGCGATTTAACACGTATATAGCCATCCTTGGAGTGTTATGCTTTCTTCCCTACTTTCTTTGTCAGATAGATGAAGGTGACTCTATTTACACAATACACAGAGCGCATCAGTTTATTTTAAGTCCTAGTAGAAAGTCGGCTCTCAATACAACAAAATTCTTAACGCGATTTTGGTTACATGTAGATTCTAGCAGAAAACAACCATCTTTATGTTAAAAAGCAACAAATTTGATGGCAACCACATTTCAAAATCTATCAAAATCTTCCTTTTAGGTTGGAATACTTTAGCTTTCACAGTGTTACTTTTTCTTTCATATATTCATACATCTATTTTCTCTAATTTCAAGTGCAGGGCATACAAAAACACGAAACTGTTCTATCCTTTCCGAATTACTTAGTCCAATCCTAATTGGTTTAAACTATGAAGTAACATAAACAATATTGTGAACACCAAACTTGTGGTAAAACTTTAAGTTCTTAACATATCTCAATGCTTATTTATATATTGCGCTTAATATACATAAATACCATTTGATACATAATCGACGTAACATTTGAAGAATCATTATACAATTTCCATACTGTATAGCCTCTTCAATCAAAGTAATCAAGAGCAGATGATGCAACAAGAAGTCTATGACATTCACAATGAACTCAACGTTGACTGCCAGTCGTTTTTGGGACATAACTCAAACGAAGAACAAAGAAGCCAGTATAACATAATCTTTTTGAATTGTGAACATGGAGCACATTTTATTCACAGAAAGTCATATCATAGATATTTGAGAGTATCCCCTTTTCTCCAACGCTCAATCTGCTTGTCATTAATAAAATTCAACCACTTCTTGATGGTTTTTATTTTATAAAATTTTAACATAAGTTGTCTGAAATTTTTTGCCGTTTTCAACACACTGCTTTACTTTTTAGCAATTAACAATAACAACAACAACAACAATGCCACAATCCTAAGCAAGTTTGAATCTGCTATATGGATTCTCACTATCTATGTCGCACTATTCAAGCTCATCTCGACTCAATATTTTATAAAATAAAAATGAAAAGCACTAGACTAGACGTTCTTTATAATTTCTAACATAAAGAAGGCACTAATACAACTAGCAGGGGCATATGTAGAGTTCAACTTATAAGTTCACCCGACCCAATAACTTTCGCTCAGACTTTGTATATCTTAAGAAGTTTACTAAATAAAAGGGCAACCCGATGCACTAAGCTCCCGCTATGCACGGGGTCTGCTGAAGGACCAGACCACAAGGCTCTATTGTCACCAACATTACCCTACATTTCTGCAAGAGGCTATTTCCATTACTCGAACCCTGACCTGCTGGTCACATGGCATCAACTTTACCGGTTACGCCAAGGCTGCCCTCTAAATAACTACAAATAATTGATTTCGAACCCAATAAATCAAATGAATAGTAGTAATAAAATTTCGAAGTAAAGACCACAAAATCCACTCTCATACCTTCCTTTCCTGAGCACCTTGGTTGGGATTATCATCAGAAGTAATAGCTTGAAGTCCATAAGCATCATTTTGACGAATTTCCTTCACCCTTTCCCTTATAATTTTAATCTCATCAGCAACCCCTTTAGCCCTAGCAACATGAGTAAGATGAAACCACTGAGCAAATTTGTTCTTATCGTCATGTCTCTTAGCTTCAATAACAAACTTATCAATTGAATCTTCAGCATCATTTACCACTTTCCTT